GAGTTGGACAATGACTAAGGAGGATAGAAGGAGAACTGATGCCTTTGAGCTGTGGTGCTGGAGAAGAGTATTGAGGGTACCATGAACTGCCAGGAAAACAAACAGATTCATCCTGGAAAGGGTTAAATTGGGCTGCTCCTTGGAGGCAAGGGTTCTGTGGCTCCGTCCAACATACTTTGGACATGTTGTAAGGAGAGACAGGTCCTTGGAGAGGGACATCATGGGTGGAGGGACAGCACAGGAGGGGAAGGCCCTCTCTGAGGTAGATTGATTCAGTGACTGGGGTAATCGGGATGGGGATGTCAGAGACAGTGCAATTAGCACAGGACAGAGCAGAGTTTAGGGCTGTTGTACATAGGGTCACTATGAGTCGCAAGTGACTTGACGGCACATAACAACAACCAAACATTGGAACATAATGAAAAATTAATATTCAAACAAATATGAAAACCTAGAGGAAATAGACAAACACTTAGAAATTCACAACCTACCTAAACTGACACCAACTTAAATTGAACACATGAAGAGACCCATAAGAAAAAAATAAATTGAAAAGGTAATAAAACAACTTCCAACCAAAAGAAGTCCTGGACCAGATGCCTTGACAAGTGAATTTTGTCAAACATTCAGAGAAGAACTTTCACCAATTCTACATAAACTATTTCAGAAAATAGAAAAAGATGGAATTCTCCCAGACTCATTCTGTGAAGCAAACATATCCTTGATACTACAGCAACTCCCTTTCCTGATTAAAACACTCAACAAAATACGATTAGAGGGGAATTTCTTCAACATAATAAAAGTATATGTGCAAACCTGAGATCCAACATTGTTCTCAATGGAGAGAGATTAAAGGCATGCCCCTTGAGACCAGGAGCCAGGCAAGGATGCCCGTTATCACCTCTCCTATTTAATACTGTATCGGAAGTCTTAGTGATAGCAATAAGGCAAGAGAAGGAAATCAGAGGTTTCCAATTGGAAAGAGGAGGTAAAATTATCTCTCTATGCAGATGATATGACAGTATACTTAGAAAACCCAAAAGACTCAGCAAGAAAACTACTGGATATAGTTGACCAATTCAGTAAAGTGACAGGATACAAGATCATCATACAAAACTAAATTGGATTTCTATACGGTGACAAAGAGAATACAGAACTGGAGCTGAGAAAACAATACCCTTCACAATAGCTGATCAGAAGATTAAATACTTAGGAGTAAATCTAACCAGAAGCACAAAGGATCTATTCAAAGAAAATTACAAAACATTATTAAAAGAAACAAAAAGAGACCTGGAGAAGTAGAAGAATATCCCTTGCTCATGGATAGGAAGACTCAATGTTGTGAAAATGGCAATACTACCAAAGGCAATTTACATGTTCCATGCAATCCCAATACAAATACCAATTCCATTCTTCAATGAGATGGAAAAGGCAATCTCCAATTTAATTTGGAATGGAAAGTAGCCCAGAATAAGCAAAGCACTCCTTAAAAAGAGAAACAAGGTAGGAGACATCTCACTCCATGATTTAAAATCCTACTAAACTGCCATGGTGGTCAAGACAGCGTGGTACTGGTACAATGAGAGACACATAGATCAATGGAATAGAATTGAGAATCCAGAAATCAGTCCATCTCTCTATGGTCAACTGGTTTTTGACAAGGAGATAAAATCAGTTAAGTGGGTAAACTACTGCCTTTTTAACAAATGGTGCTGGGAAAATTGGAAAATTATCTGCAGAAAACTCAAGCAAGATCCACACCTCACTCCATACACAAAAACCAATTCAAAGTGGATTATGGACGTAGGACTAAAATCAAGGACTACAGACTTCATTAAAGAAAAGCTTGGATTAATCAGAACTGGCTTTGACAAGCACTGTGGCATTTGGACAAGAACAAACTGGGAGGAGGGTAAATGTTTATGAAAATTAATAAAATATAATTATAGGAAAAAAAAAGAAAAGCTTGGAAGAACTGTAGAAATCCTAATCCACAACGTAAGCAGTCTTCCAAGCATCCTGGAAAATCTACAACCAGGAGAGGATAAAATAGATTAATGGATGAAATATGTTTACGGCATTGAAGTCTATGGGGGAGAGAATAGTCTAAAAGTATTATATTTTAGGGCATTATTTTTATCGTAGGAGTATGCAATGAGGGTTGCAGAGTGGATTATATTTGGGGGTAGGGGGTGGGGTTTGGGGAGGTGCGGGGGGGGGATTGTGTACCAATGAGGGAGTTTTTCTTTTGCTTTTCAAGGAGAGGAGCAAATGGGGGCGGGAGGGGGGAGGGGTTTGTGCGGGGAGAAGGGTGCAACAATGAATGAATGGAATCCCAAAATCTCTGTAGATGTTCATTGAAATGAAAAATAAACAACCTAAATTTAAAAAAAAAATAGATTAATGGGACCTTCTAAGAATCAAATCCCTATGCACATCCAAAAAGTTCTCCAACAAGGTAAAAAAGGAAGGCACAGATTGGGGGGGGAAAATATTTGGTAATGTATAGACTGGAAGCAGGAGTGGCATCCACTTCCAAAATGGCTTGCCTTTAGAAACTCTATGTATGAATAGTGCTCAGGCCTTTTGTTCATAGGGTCGCTATGAGTCGTCTACGACTCGACAGCACCTAACAACAACAACAATGACATGTCAGACAAGGGACTTATATCTAGAATTTATAAAATACTCGAACACCACAACAAGAAAAAGGTAAATAACCCAATTACAAAATGGGCACAGGATATGAACAGACACTTCACCAAAGAAGACATTCGGATGACCAACAAACACATGAAGAAATGTTCAAAATCCTTAGCTCTAAGAGACATTCAAATCAAAACAGCTATGAGATATCATCTCATCCCAGCAAGAAAAGCAAAATTTAACAGAACAGCAAACATAAAATGCTGGCGAGGTTACAGAAAAACTGGAACCCTATTCACTGTTGGTGGGAGTGTAAAATGGTATAACCACTATGGAAGGCAGTATGGTGCTTTCTCAAAAAGCTGCAAATAGAAATACCATTTGACACAGCAATTTCACTACTGGGAATTTACCCTAAAGAAACTAGAACTCACACCCAAGCAGATATATATGATATATGTTTATTGTGGCTTTGTTTGCAATAGCAAAGAGCCGGAAACAACATAAATTCCCATCAACAAATGAATGCATAGAGAAGCTTTGGTGTATTCACCAATGGAATACTATGCAGCATTTGAAAAACAAGGAACTAATGAAATATACAAAATGGGTGACTCTGGAGGACATTATGCTGAGTGAAATATCTCAGTCACAAAAGGATAAATATTACATAGGGCCACTGTTGCAGAACAGAACTGACATGAGGTTGAGGGAAGACAGAGAAGGAGAGGATGAAAGATGTATACTGTATTGAAACAGATGAAGGAGAAAACTGTTTAAAAGGGATATATGATTGGGTATTAGTGTCATGACAGGAGTCCAGAATGAAGGCTGCCCAGTGGAGTGGACTTGGGAGGGATTGTATAACAATGAAATTGTTTTTCTTTTATTTTTCAAGGAGAAGAGTGAACTGGGGGAGAGGGAGTGGGCAGGGAGAAAAGTGCAGCAATGAATGAATCTAAACCCTAAGTCTCTGTAAACTTCTTTTAAAATTAATTTTTTTAAAAAGCTTTTCATTTTAAAAACTAAAAGTCATATGATTGATTACCCTAATGCAGAAAAAATGTCTTTGACAAAGAAGAAAACTCACTCCCATGCACGACTTAAACAATTTTCCCAATAACTAGCAATAGAAGGGAACTTTTCAACTGAAGGATGAAAGACTGAAAGTTCCTCCCCAACCTCCATCAGATCAGAAATAAGACAGAAATGTTCCCATTTGCCACTTAACATTGTACCAGAGAGTTTTGCTAATACAATCAGGAAAAAACAAGAAGATAGATTTTAGGGGTTTGTGGAACAGATTTAGATGTTAGATGTTAGGCAAATATCTTGGGTTCAAGAGTTGTTTTTTTTTCCTTTTCTTGTTGTATACCATCGAGTTGGATCAGACTGACAGAGGGAGAGATTGCCCCTCCTTCTCCAGAGGAGCACATCTGGTAGATTCAAACCCTGTGGCTTCAGGATGGCAGTGCAGTTTCTTGCCACTAGGCCACTAGAGCTCCCTTGATTTCAAGAGTTTTGATAATGGATATCTATTGTTATTATGCACTACTGAATTGGAACCAATTAGTAACTACCCTTCTGGCAGGTTTTCAAAGGCTGTAAATTGTGCAGAAGAAAACTGCCTATCTTCCTCCTTCAGAGCAGCTTCTGGATTCGAACCTCATGCCTTTGAGATTGCAGTGCAGCTTCTTACCACTAGGCCACCAGTGTTCCCCTAAAAGATATCTGTTGGTATGGTGGTGTTGTTAAGTGTCATCGTTGTTAAGTGTCATCAAGTACAAATCATAGAGACTCTATGAACAAGTGATCTGAACACTGTCCTATCCCACGCCATCTTCACAATCTCTGACACACTCAAGACCATTGCCACAGTCACTGAGAAGATATCTAGAAGCTCTAATTATAACCAGAACAGGATTAAGCTCAGCAATAAATAAAGCTAATTGTTTGGAGTCTGTAAAACAGAGTAGTAGGCTTAGGAAGCGGGCCAAATATAGTAAAACAGACAAATGCTAGAACTTGTATGAGAAAGAAATCTTCCAGAAAAAGAAAACGAAAATATTTTCCAGTAATAGAGAGCAATGGAAGTATCAAAGACAGAAAACTTTGAGACTCAGAAAAGCAAAACATTTCTGTCCAGGTTTCATTGTATATAGGTGTTTGGAGATCTTCATATGGGGGCTCAGAGTCAGATATTGTGATTTATAACCAATATTTGGGGTCTAGATGATGTTTTATTCTGGGGTTCAGAGATTCAGGATTTGGTTGGAGGTTTGGGGGCTATGGACACAGATCTGAGTTTGTAGGTTAAGAAGTGGTTTGTATGCTCAGTGAGGGTTGAGGATCACCTGGAGGCCATAGAGTCGGATGAAATAGGACTTCTGAGGGTTATCTTTCACGAAACACACAGCTCCACAATGCTCCTTGGTCCAGTGCTCAGCTCCAGGAGGCAACGCCAGGTACAGCTGAACAACTGTGGTAGCCAGTGTCTGGGAAGGAAAGAGCAGAGGCGAACAGAATCTAGTCAAGGTAGCCAGAGGGTCTTAGAGCCACACTTTGTCCTTCCTTTTCTGTGGCTTCCCTAGGCCCAGAGAAAAAGCAGCAAATAGAAGGAAGGTGAATAAAGCTCAAAATCATCCTGAAATTGGCAAATGGTGACCAGTGAATTCTAGGCAAGACTATGGAGAGAAAAAGGACAGGGAAAGGATAGAGAAGCTTAGTAGGGGTGGAGGTATTAAGACGATGACGAAAGAGAGAAAGAGGGTCCCCAGCTTACCCAGCATTTCCTTCCGAGCATCTCAAAGACTCTCTGGTTCTCACGGTCATGGAGGAGTGTGGAGGGTATGTTCTGTTGAACCCCTGAACCTCCGCGGCTCCCAGGCCTGCCTCCTGCAAGGGCCCCACTCATGGTGCTTTTTGCCCTTGTCTTCTCTGGCTAGGCTCTGGGTGCAGCAGGGTAAGAGGAACTTCCGCAGTGAGCAAGGAAACAGGAAATGTAAAAAGCCACAAGGGAAACAAGTCCTCCAGGGGCCCCACAGTAGGCCTGGCCTCTTCTTTCCTTGGACAGGCTTTGACTCTCCTTCCTCAGACCAGACTAGCTAGAGTCTTCCTCTATTTGACTGAATAGACTCATTTCACTTTAACCAGGCCACATCTTCCTCCTTTCTGACATCTGGGGCTTGCCTCCCTCTGACTAACTTAGGTGCTCCTCCCTCTAATTGGCTGGGGTCCCTAAGTCACCCTGATCCACCAATATGTTCTCCTGGTGAGTGCTAAGCTATCAGCAGCATTTCTGCAAAGCTTACTGGGGTGGGGAGAAGTTATGGGGGTGGATGGGTAGCCATCATCCTCTTCTAAAGGTTAAAGGCTTCCAGTGTTTAATATCTACAATGTTAAAACTTGTCCTTTTCATTATATAAATAACACCTGTGATCCCATGACCTAGCCTGAGAACCCGGATATTGCCAGCAATGCACACCTCTCTGGCTCACTTCCTCATTCCTTGCCCTCACCTCCACAACTGTACCCAAATTACTTTTGTTTTATCTCATTTTTTTTAAGAAAGGAATGTTGTAACATACATAAATGCCTAAAGAACAAATTGTCTACCTTTAATTACTATTGAACTTAGACTAATGGAATAAAATTGAGAACCCAGAAGTAAATCCAAAGTGCTTCTTTTTTTTTTTCTAAGTGCTTCTTTGAGGCAAGAATAATGGAACTTCATCTCACATACTTTGGATATGTTGTCAGGAGGAACCAATCTTTGAAGAAGGGCATCAGACTAGGTCAGGTGGAAGTTCAGAGAAAGAGAAGATCCTCAGTGAGATAGATTGACTTAGTGATATAACAATAGGCTTGAATATTTCAGACATCATAAAGAAAGTGCAGGATAGGGCAAGGTTCAAGCCTGTTGTTCCTAGGGTTGCTATGGGTAGTAGTTGATTTGACAGCACCTAACAGCAATAACAACAACAATATATGGCATAAATAGACTATCAAAGCTAACAAAAAAAATGCACATTCAGCAGAGGAAAACTAGACAATTGGGACCTTCTAAAAATTAAATCTTTATGTGCATTAAAAAATTTTTCCAAAAGAGCTAAAAGGATTTGGCAATGACATATCTGACAAAGCAATCATTTCTAAAATGTGTAGGCAACTCGAAAGTTTCCATAAGGAAAATGACAACAAAGTCACAAAATAGAAGAAAAGACATCTCACCATCTAAATGCAAACAATAAATGCCTCAAGATCATTTACTATTGTTGTTGTACAATATGTGGAGTCAGAACCAATCCAAAGCTGACCATCCAGTGGATTTTCAGAGGCAGTTAATTGCACAGGAGGAGACTGTCCATCTTTTTCCCATGGAGTAGCTAGTGTATCTGAATAACGTTCCTTTGCATTGGCAGCACAATTTCTTATCAATAAGAAATTCTTACCGGAGCTCCCTACTACAATCTATTGTTGTTGTATATCATAGAGTCAGAACTGACTCATTATATATCAAAAAGAAAAAAAATCGAAACAATATCACTAAAGAAAGGAAAGATAAAAAGAAGGGTAGAAGTGTTAATGGAAATGAAAACTATGGATGAGTGATGAAAGTGTGATTATATTGTAGATATTATAGCTTATGTTATAAAAGAAAATGTGTATGAATGATTGAATTTTAAAAAATCTATGTTTTGTAAACGTTTGCTCAAATCATAATAAAAACAAAAATAATTAAAAAGAAAAGAAATAAAATATATGTAATTCCCAGAGGCCTGCTCTTTTCTACTCAATTTTTTCTATTAAGTATTGGTGTCATATTTAGTGTAAGCTAAGCACTGTTCACAACTCAGCAAATAGTGATTCATTTAAATCCTCCTGTTAATGCAGTGGTTAAAAGTGTGGTGTTAAGGGTTTATTATTCAAAAAGGTTTCCCTAACCATTGAGTGACTTTGCCATGTGGATGGATGGTCAGGAATATGAGACTATGGTGTGTTAGCCAATCCACAAAGGGATTGGCTAGTCTTACCAATCCACAAGGAGATTGGCCAGTCTCACCATTAAAATGAATGAATCCAGCAGCAGAATTTGAGAAACTCACTACCAGCAAAGAAGTAAGAGAATACAGAATGTCCTTCGGGGTCAGAGATTCTTGCATCACCCAAACCAGGGCCTATAAGAGCAGCAGCCACAGCAGAGAACCAGAGACCTGACATGAGACAGAGCAGACCTTGAGACTGCTACACAATTGAACTAAAACTAAGAGCCTTTTCCCCGAATTTTATTGAATGACTGGCAGGAAGGGGCACACTAAGCTTTGTAACACTGGTCTAAAGCCACAAGTCTCAATCCTGAAGTGCCTGTAAATACATTTCGGCAGCTGTACTAATTGTACTTCTGCTACTAACCTGAACTATAGCCATATGACTTCTCTAATATGGATCTGTGTGGTCTGTGAGCTATTGCAATGGATCTTGGACCCAGTAAAGCAGTAAGATTGGTGTTGGGATGAGAAGAAAGAGGTGTGGGAGCATGAATAACATGTGACCTTAGAAACTGGTTTTGTGGTGTTGTTGACAGGGACAGTTCCCATTTGTGGAGTTGGTAAAGTTTAGATAGATAGATAGATAGATAGATAGATAGATAGATAGATAGATAGATAGATATAGATGATATACATATATACATACACACATATATATATACAAATATATGTTGTTGTTGTGTTGTTGTTGTGTGCCATCGAGTCGCTTGTGACTCATAGCGACCCTATGCACAAGAGCCCTAAACCCCGTTCTATCCTGTGCCAACCTCGCTGTCTCCGACACACTCATTTCCACCATCCCAATTACAGAATCGATCCATCTCATCGAGAGTCTTCCTCTCCTGTGCCGTTCCTCCATCCTCCCAAATATGATGTCCCTCTCCAAGGACCAATCCCTCCTTGCAACATGCCCAAAGTATGTCAGACGAAGCTGAAGCTTCTTGACTCCAAGGAGCATTCCAGCTTCACCCTCTCCAGGACAAACCTGTTTGTTCTCCTACCAGTCCATGGTATATTCAACACTCTTCTCCAGCACCACAGCTCAAAGGCATCAATTATCTTTCTATCATCCCTAGTCACTGTCCAACTATCCAATGCATAGTACATAATTGCTAAGACTATAGCCTGGATCAGGTGCACCTTAGTCTCCAGCCTAACACCGTTGCACTTCAGTGCTCTTGAGAGGTCCCTCACAGAGGACTTTCCCAATGCAATTCATCTCTTGATTTTCTTGCTGCTGTTACCAAGAGTGTTGACAGTGGAATCAAGTAAACGAAAACTGTTAACTATCTCAATCTCTTCACCATCCATACTGATGCTGCCAACTGGCCCAGTGGTGAGAATCTTTGTTTTCTTGATGTTGAGCTTCAAACCATATTGAAGACTGCAGTCCTTGACCTTCTGTAGCAAGCGCTTCAGGTCCTCCTCAGTTTCAGCAAGCAGGGTTGTGTCATCCACATAATGCAGGTTGTTGATGACTCTTCCACCAATCCTGATGCCACATTCCTCCTCATACAGTCCAGCATCTCCGATGATCTGTTCTGCATACAGATTGAAAAGGTATGAAGACAAAATACATCCCTGGTGAACTCCCCTCTTGATTTTGAACCACGTAGTGTCTCCTTGCTCTGTTCTGAAGACTGCCTCTTGGTCCAAGTATAGGTTCCGCATTAGCACAATCAAACGTTCTGGGATTCCCATTCTTCTCAGAGTCAGACATAGCTGCTTGTGATCCACACAGTCAAAAGCCTTTGATAGTCAGTGAAGCACAGATAGACATTCTTCTGTTATTCCTTGCTTTCTGCCAAGATCCATCTAACATTAGCTATAATATCCCTAGTACCATGACCTCTTCTAAATCCAGCCTGCACATCTGGCAGTTCTCTATTGGCATATTGTTCCAAATGTTTTTGGATAATTTTCAGCAGCATCTTGCTTGCATGTGATATTAATGATATTGTTCGATAATTTCTGCACTCTGTTGGGTCACCTTTCATTGGAATAGGAACAAATATCGATCTTTTCCAGTCAGTTGGCCAGCTGGCTGTCCTCCAGATTTCTTGGCACAACTTAGTAAGCACATCCAGGGCAGCGTCTGTTTGTTGAAATATGTCAATTTGTAGGCCGTCAACTCCTGGAGCCTTGTTTTTTGCCAATTCCTTCAGAGCAACTTGAACTTCCTCCTTCATCACCATAGGCTCTTGCTCATATGTTATTTCATTAAATTCTTCTATATCAGCCAATTCTTTCTGATACAGTGACTCTGTGTACTCCTTCCATCTTCTTTTGATACCTCCTGGATCATTTAACATTCTACCCAAAGTATCCTTAAGTATTGCCACCCATGGCTTGAATTTGTTTTTCAGCTTCTTCAACTTAAGAAACGCTGAGCAAGGTCGGCCCTTTTGATTTTCTGACTCCAGCTCTCTGCATATTCTATTATCTTGCTTTGTCGTCCCGATCTGCCTTTTGAAATTTTCTATTCAGCTCTTTGATTTCTTGGTTTCTTCCTTTGGCTTTGGCTTCTCAGTACTCTAATGCAATACTCAGAGTCTCATCTGACATCCATCTTGGTCTTTTCTTCTTTTTCAGCCTTTGTAATGATCTTTTGCATTCTTCATGGACAATTTTCTTGATATCCTCCCAGAGCTCATTTGGTCTACACTCATTGGTGCTCAAGGCCTCAAAACTGTTCCTGAGAATGTTTTGAAATTCGAGTGGGACAGACTTAAGGTCAAATTTTGTTTCCCGTGGACTTGATTTAATTTTCCTCAACTTTAGCTTAAACTTACATATGAGTAGTGGTGGTCTGTCTCACAATCAGTACCTGGCCTGGTTTTCACTGCTGTTATTGAGCTTCTCCACCGAGTCTTTCCACAAATGTAATCGATTTGAT